TAATCCTATCGATAAATTAGCAGAAGCAGAAATACTGATAAAATATCAAATCTAATTTTCTATAATGAAAGTTCTCCTGTAACATAGCAAAAACGCCATGCATCAACTTAAAAAAAATCAACTAAAATAAAGCACTAGAAGTTCGCTGCAATCTTCTGACGATGAGGATGGTATGTTTCTTGGGAAAGCAGAATGTAAAGCTCCTGCATATAGTCCAACAATCCTAAATCCTCAGTCTCCAAAATAAAAGTGGAGGCCTGACAGTAAGCATTTGCCAGATGTCCAAAACTACAACTAAGATGTCAAGCTGTGCTGCTGCCACTGCCGGTAGTTAATGGTACCGGTATGGTGGCATATACGGAACTCGGAACTTTCCCTCTGTCTCGCCAGGACTGGGAACAGAAATAAAAGGAGGGAAAAATGTATTTTAGAAGAAAAAAAACTATCAAGAAACTACGACAACGAAAAACAAAAATTCTCAGAATCTGTGTGTAAAAACACACAGCTAATAATCGTTCATGAATCTTGCTCTCCATGATACCGAGGCACTCAAAAAATAATATGAGACCAATTTGAAGGGGAATTCAACAAAGAAAGAATGTAAAGGAAAATTTAGGTGAGAAGGACTATCCACAGGACCTAGCTAATTCACCTTCCGCTAGACACTTGATAAAAATATTATCTTGATGGAGCAGTTTGTGATGGAGGCATATCTTCGTTTGTATGGTTGCTTGATGAACTTTCTTGTTCTTCCGCATTGGAGACTAGGAGAAATTTTGTATAGTAGCATTTCACAGTACAAATAAAATTCAGGCAAATAATAGCTTGATGCTATCAGAAAATTGGGTTGAAAAAATATAAGCACACACCTTATGTGTGTGTAATATTGAGATTGCTATGAAATTTTAATAAAAATGGAACCAAGATTCAAAAATGATTTTTTACTACTGAATGAATCAAATAACTGTCATTCATTCATAAACAAGCCCGCTGTGATAGAATATATTGAAGAGAAAAAAAAACTGCATATAGTGTACCATTGTGTTAGAAACAAATCTACTCTAATTTAAAAAAACTATTGTGTTAACCTCACTCAGATTGCAGTAAAAATCTAATGTAGACTGAAAGCTTAACATGCATTTTTACACAAAGCCTGGGTTGAAGGGAAGCATTAGAACTCACAATTTCAACTGTGGCATTCACTTACATCTCAAGATTTAGGCATGACAGAGGGAACTTACAGAGTATTTCCCTCTTATGCAATTAATAGCCAGCACAGTGATTACTAGCTCCATAAAAAACTTCTTAAGTATATTCTTGTTGTTTCTTTACAATGAGAACTTACAGAGAAGCTTTGCGAGTTGGCAATCACACTGCCGTCTTAAGAAAGCATCAGTAGATAAACAAATATACTCACACTTGAGAACTGCGCATCTTTTTCTTTGATGAAGAAATGTGGATTTTGCCAGTTGCAGACGAAAGGGAGTTATTAGTCTGGCGTCCAACAGGTTTAGACCCAGTGGATTCCTCCTCCGATTCAGATCTGCTGGAGCAACTTCGTGAGCTCAGACGGGTGGTACCATGAAATGTACGACCAGCTGCTCTTTCTTTCAGCATATCTTCCTCTAATTGCCTGAAGCAGCAAAGCAAATAATCAGTTTCATAGATGTGTGAAGTTGAGTGTTAAGGCCTATTTTCAATAACCTTACTTTTGACGCCGCTCTCGTTCCTCTATCTCTTTCACTTTTCGCTCTTCTTCTTCTTTAGCCATTACCCTTGCACTTTCTTCTTTTTCTTTGGCAAGCTTCTCAATACGAGAAGATTGGCGCCTTGGCATGAATTCTGCCATGCGTTTCCTAAACCAAAAATCGTATGAAATAAGTATTTTTATTGTAACTGAAAACACATCAGGGCATTAAACAGCATTACCTTTGCAGCCTTTCTTTCTCAGCAAACAATCGTGGAATTTCAGGCAGAAAGTCTTCAGCCAGTACTCGATAAAGTGCTTTTTCCTCCTTGACTGTCGATCCTTTCAGCTGAGCGGCTAATTTCCCCCAATCTTCCTCAGTATAGCATATTACTTGCCAAGTGCCTGAACCTTGATCAGGTGCAGCCTCGTTGTCAGATTCCTCATTGTCCTCTTCTTCTTCTTGCCCTTTCTTTCCACCTTTGCCACGTTTTTTCTTCACCTTTTCTTGTTTTAGCTTTCTTCTCTTGACCTTTCCCCGATTCTGAAAGGTAAACATGGGTAACTTTAGTGAACTTAAACAAAAATGATTCAAGAAAAACTTCTTGTCATGAATCACAAACCTTGTTTGTTGTTTTGGGTACATCTTCTCTGTACAGGCGAGTTCCATAAAAATAATAATAAGCTGATGAATTAGCATCATGACCAAGAGGATCAACTCGTAAACTATCCGATTCCAGATTCTGTAAAAGGTTTAGAGGAAAAATAAATATTAGATTAATTCCAGAAGTGTGTATTGAAATGATAATGTGAGTTATCAAGTTACCTTTAAAACATCTTGTACATCATCAGCATCAAGTCTGAAGTCACATAGGGTATGAATAATCTGAACTTTTGTTCTCAGGGGAAGAAATTGAAAATCAATATCTGTATTGAAAGGATTTTCTCTAAATTGTTCCTGAAAATACAAACATTATTACTTAACCATCAAGTGATTAAGGTTATAAATTTAAAAATTAATGATTTGAGTGATACCTGACACTTCTGTCTCAGGAAACGGCGGAGGAACATTTGATAATTAAATGGAGAGATGTCAGTGTTGTTGGGCGAGTGGCCCAGGCATCCAGCAAGCAGACGGACAATCAGGTCCTGAAGCAAGCAGCTGCCGGTGTCATCCGCACCATCTGTCAGGAGGGCCTCTTCCAGATCCTACAAGTAAAATTTGGAAATTAAATCATTACAGGAAGCAACATTGTAACAATGAATACCACAATCACAAAAAACAGACCTCAATGTCAAAATCCAGTAAATTAAATGCGGCTCTAAATAAGGAGCAAAAGTGTGCAATGCTTGGCACCTCCCACCATGACTGCACATCTGAAAAGTGGGAAATAAAAAAGATTAGAGAATGAAATAAATTGAAAGTATCTGGGAGCAAGCAGAGTGTTGCAAACAAGTACAAAAAAAAGGATTTAAATTAACAATATGAACACGAACTTAAAAAATATCAAAAAGATAGAGAGCAGAGAGAAAGAAAAATGAACTTGTGGCGTCTGTAATGTGTAAAGACACAAAATGATGTGTACAACGTAGGTTAGACTTAGGTTATGGGATTTGTTTTCATAGTCAAAACGAGTTTCAAGAAGTGATTTCCTGGTCTACTATGAAGTTCTATGCTACAAATCAGCAACTGCAATTAAATACTATATTTGAAAAGACTAAGACTGAAAATATTACTTCCTGAGTCCTTGCCCGCCAAATTAGGCTTGAGTTTGGGGCTCCTCTGGTGGTCCTCCATGAATTTCTCGTTGTAGACAAATGGAACGAGATAGATTCTGGCTGTGGTTGGAATCAGCGAGTTTGCTGCTTCTTCCACTTACCGTCCATTGTGGAAGGTTTTGTCAAATAATCTCAATTAAGTTTGTCTACTGAAAAGTTCTACATTGAGCAAAAAAATAACAACAACACTGTACTCCATCTTGTGATTGTTAAGTTTACTTCAGTAACCAACCGGATACACAGCCATCTTGCCAGTGGCGGAGATTATAGCGGAAGCATATTTTTCATACGAGACCAATGCCCGTTATTTGTCCAAATTGTCCCAAATTGGGCCATTTGTGCCATTTCATTTGTTGAGGTGTGAGCTCTAGAGTCTGCTTTGAAGTGTGAGCTTGACGCTGACGTTTCACCGTAGGCTTTCATGCAAAGTTTCTACGTTCAAGAAAATGTTGAAAAATCGTCGTGGCTCTGTCGCGCGCAATTTTTAAAATGTCAGCATTGTTTTTGCTGTGCGGTGGACGATGCGCTAACTAAACTGGGGATAACCTGCCCATCTTGCGCTGTCAACAAAGAACGGCTTGACGGCGACGAAGACTGACAATGAGGTTAGTGATCTTGTGCATCATGTTCTCACCTAAGCACCGGCATTGAAACCAGGCTTTCGTTTTGTCGGAATGAATTGACAATTCGGCATGAAATACATTGTTATGTGTCAGTCAACAGTACAAGAGCCATGCTGCCAGTGGCAAATGACGCGTATGCTTGTCACGGTCACGGAGTTCTATGTCACTTCATTTCGCTCTGTCATTCTCTTACGCGGTCAGTTAGTACATTAATTTCAAGCTTCTTAAGTACAAAATCGTGTCGATTTGATGCCCAACAAAGGGCGCCGACGTAGGGTTATGGTTGTATTAGACCCGCCGTTGTTTACACATTTCTACTCGATGTCCTCCCCCTCCTTTATTTAATATGTCATATTTACTTTTGGTCGACTGAGCCGACACAGGAAAGTTTCTACCTGGGGGAGTCCGATGCGAACGTATCGATACCGCGCCAATCCCTTCTCCTCCCCATATTCCCTCACCCCACGCCCCCTTTTCTGTGGCAATTAGGACTTTAAAGACTCTAGTTTGCACGATTGGAACTTGCGTGCACTAACTGAGTAATTTTCTCCCCTTCATGAATCACTGAGTTGTCTGATTTAGCTGTTCGTCTGCGTTCCAGTTACCCCTGGAGCTACACGCAGCCGGTGGAGCAGTACGGCGGTTGTAGTTACAACAACAACTCCAACAACAACTGCCCCGGCTATGACCGGTACAACCGCTGGAGCTGCGATCACAGCGGCTTTGACCAAGGCAACGGCGGGTGGGAGGTTGTCGAAGAGGAGGCCAGCTACTACCCGCAGGAGCAGCGTCCGCGCCCCGCCCGCCCCCGCCAGCCCCAGAGGAATGCCGGGCAACCCTCGCTGCCCAGGAGGCAGCACAGGGAGTGCCTGGAACACCTGGACCACCCCGCCGGCCCGCTCCAGCGCCTCCAGCACCAGGAGTCGTGGCACCTGCAGCAGCCCGCCGACGGCGTGCCCTCCTGCCCCCGCTCCAACTCGTCCACCCCGGTCATGGACGAGAACGACGACGATGACGTGGTGGTGCTCGACGCGGACGGGATGCCGTGCTCGGACTGGCCGACGGTGCCGCCCCAGGACATCCTGGAGCTGATCCCGCCCCCGCCCCCGCTGCGCAACCTGGTGCCCTGCTCGCCGCAGAAGCCCGTCGTCGCCAGGCCACCTCCCCCCGCACGGCCGCGGCCGCGGCGCCCGCCCGTGACGGTGACCTCCCGGACCAAGAGGGCTGCTGCCGCCGCGTTCGCGGCCCGGTCTGCGCAGCGCACGTCCTCCGCCAGGGTCTGCGTCTCCACCCCCAGCCGGGCGCAGGTGGGTCCAGGGTCGGGGGGTGTCCTTGTGCTCACCGGGTGCGTCCTCTCGGCAGCCGCGGGATGCAGTGACCTGCACCTCAATCAGGCACCCCTAGGTCGGGTGGTTGCATCCGCACGCATCCGAGGTCTACCTGGTTACGATTTGGTGGGGCCGCCGATAAAAATGTAGTATCACGCGTGTCTGTGTTTCCGGACGTCAGACGATAGCATATTTTTGGCGTGCAGTGCAGTGGCGACAACACAGGGTGGCACCTATGCTGCTAATCCGCAGGGCTGGTCCTGAACGGAGGGCGGGGGAGGAGAGGAGGTGGGGGG